TATTATTTATATTCATATATCTACCTAATATGTTTTTCAAATAATAAATATTTTAAAAATAATGTAACTTAATTTAATGCATTTGCATGTTTTTTTTTACACTGTTTAAAAAATGGATTTGACTAAAATTTGTTTTGAAATACTTATAGTTCAATTACTGATTTTTTAATGTAAATTTATATTATGTTAAAGTTGTACTCACGCGTTTCCCTGACCGTTGAACACCCAGTTGTTCGTAGCAAGCCCTTCTTTAACCGAAACATAGTAATACGCACACGCATTTAAATGCACTAAGTAGACCATGTACGTTAATGTTCTTGTAACTCGGACTACATACGGTGACGACAAAACGCTGTCAAAATGGTCAAAGAATTCCCAAAAGGTCTGAATCTTTATAACAAAGATATAACATGTGTATTGTACATTTTTATAATGTTATTATAGTTACGTGTATCTATTTAATATTTTTATTACAAATTAGAAAAACGGCATAATTCCAAAAAAATATAAAAACACAAATTCTGATTATATATGACAAACATATAGACAAACAAATTAAATTTCTGTCTAAATRTAGTTTAAACTGTATATTTACACAAAAATAAGAACTTTTCGTGAAACATTGAAAGCATTTTTGTTCTTCTAAGTATAACTTTTAAATGATCGATGATATTATTTAAAGTGAAAACTGATTATAAATTGGGTTACATTGTTACAATACTTGTTGGATTTACCTTAATTATTCGATTTAGTCTCATCAAAGGTAACATTTCTGAAGTAAATCCTGGTGTTAGGCATATCAAGTCAGCCGGTAGAAGAGAAATTATGTCCAACTAAAAAAAGATAATCATTTTATTAGAATTCGTATTATAAAAAATTGCAATTAATTGATAACTAATTTTAGATTTTGAACCGAGTAATGAATATATCGATTTTACAATTATGTGTTTGTACAGTTAATAATTATGAGAGGTAAAAGATGAAAATCCCCAGGATTTTTTAYTACAACAATCTGGCTACCAAAAAAAAAAAAGTGTTAAGTCGTATAACCAACTAGCTGTTGATAAACTTATGTTGTAACTAAAAAAATAAAAGAATTGTAGGAACTTRAAACTATCTCTAAATTTGTTTATTAGCATTTTATTTAGGTACATGTATAAATGTTCCAATTATTTTCCCCAAGGYCGTTCCTAGACAGTTTGCAAGGRGAGGGAGTGAATCTATTTCAGAAATCAATTATATTACCTATACTATAGACGTGTTTTTTAAAAGGTTAGGAGAACTTAGTCAATTTTACTTTTTATWATACATAGACTACATTACAAATAATAAGCAAAAGCAAGAATAATTTTGTCGRCGTAAATGTATACTTCGATTTCCTTTCACTCCCTCTTTGATTTTCGAAATAATGCGTAGCTATATTTGACATTTTAAATTATGAGCGGAGCGATGAATGTATTGATTTTACCATGATGTGTGTTTTTTTTTTTGT